TATATATATAGAGAGAGAGAGAAAGAAAGAGAGAGAGAGGGAGAGGGAAAGGAGAGGGAGAGCAAGAGCGAGAGGGAGAGGGAGAGGGAGAGAGAGGAGAGAATGAACACGAGTCAGGCCCCTCAGAGGCTTCCCTCTGGTCTCCTTCTTTGTGAATAAGGTCCCACTTGCCAACAGGTGTGTACTCACTAACATGGCAGTGCGCTGACGTGGCCAGAGCAGACATAATCCTGTCACCTCTCTGGGCTGTTCTTCTGGATATTTCTGTCTTGGGGATCAAGCCCTCAGTGAGCCAGTCTTGGAGGGATATCACATTTACACCACAGGAAAATACCCCACCACATTCAACCTATCAATAAATCTTACTTGTTTTGGCTTTTAACTAGGTCTGGAGATCTGCGCAGTGTGCTACTGCGCCCTGGGAAGTGACTGCTGTCACCTGTCACCTGGACTCTGGTGCTAGCTTCTCGAGCGGTGTTTCCGTCCCACTCTAGTCGCCTTCCAGTTCATTCTCAACAGAAGAGTTAGAACGAGCTTTTGGAAACTTCTTACGCTAAAACGTGGCGGCTTTCATGAAAGCTCAAAACTCCCCAGAAGTCCCTACTGCTGCCTCAGGGAACTGCATCGGTGTCCTGCTGTCCGCTTTCTAAGCTTTCCTGTCCTCTAGCCTGCCTTTCACTTTGTCTTCCGGCTTTAGCCACATCGGGCTTCTTGTGCGCTCCGCAGACCCGCCCAGTCTTTTGCCAGCTTGCGTCTTCTGCCTGCCGAGTGCTCCTCCAAGTTTCCTGCCTGGTTCACTTCTTTTCGACTCGGGTCTCAGCCGAAGTGCTAAGTCCCTAAAAGGAATTCATTACGCGCTCCTGATACTCCAGACCGCTTGTCCGCAGCGCGTCTCTCAGTCCGGTTCAGCCCCAGACTCATGGCCCTTAACACCTGCCTGCCCTGCAGTAATGTACTAATTTCCTTTACTAACGCTCCTTTACTACAAGCGCGGTGCTCAGATTTTTCAGTAGAGGGCACTAAAGGAACACAGCTCGGGCCAGGGCTGCTCCTGCTCTTTCCAGCTGCTGCAAGGTGGCCAGACAGTTCTCAGCGCAGGGGTGTGCACAGGGGGGAGCGCTTTGCCCTCGTCAGGCGCGGGAACGCATTGCACCCCGGAGACCCTGCAGCCCCGCTGGCCTTGCTGATCACCTTCCTCTCCGCCTTCTATGCCCAGTTTCCAGGCCACCCTGATGTCCTGATTTTTCTCTGTACTGTGTCCTCCCTCCCTGGGGCACACAATCCTTTGCATGCCACCACTTCCCCCCAGAAGCTTTTGCACAGGGCTCCTGCCACAGAGCTCTCTTGTCCCATTGCACACCTGTGCCCCAGCTGAGGTCCCCTCCCCAGCCTCCCCACCCACCCGCACTGCCTCCTGCATGTCCTGAAAACTGACTCTGGCTCCCATCACAGTGAGTTCCTCCGCTACCCAGTCGGTGGAGGACACTATTTTCTCCAGTGAGATCCATACCCTTGGAGAGTCATCCTCTTTCCAAATTTGTCTTTCCTTATATATGCTCTTTTATTGTAATACAGTTTTCTTATATAGCTATGCTTTTATCATTATTAATAACTCTTTTTTGTTAAGCTTCCTTTATTTAAAACACCCTGTGACACTCTTGACTGAACCTAGTTGGCTACAATTCTCTTTTATATCCTTGTAATTTCACTTATAGTATTAATCACAAACTCGTATTTATTCGTGAATCTATTTTTTTTTTTTTTTTATGTATTTACTACAAGGTCCACAGCATCTACAGGGTCTCACTATATTGATAGAACTCCTGGTGATCCTCCTGTTTTCAGCCTCCCAAGCGCTGTGCTTATAAGTGTGTGTCATCACACCCAGTCTCAATTGCTTCTCAGTGTGCCCTGGGGACAGCGCCGGCACGGCACCACGGGGGATTGAACCCCAGCCTCTGCACTCTGCCCAATCAGGCGCTTTAGTCCACTGAGCTATTTGGCCAGCCCTATGAATCTATTTTTTAATGTTACTCTCCTCCATTGGACTACAGGCACAAATAGGACATGCATCGTGTCTGTTTTGTGGCCTTCCTGGTGCTTCATAATGGTTGGCTTATAAAAAGCACTCAATAAATGCTTGTTGCATGAATGAGTACTGTGTGGCCAGGTTCATTTTCTGCTAATTTATTCTGTTGTGTTCCTTGCATGCCCTGTTAACTCTTCTCAGGCCTTGCTATGTACTCCGAAGATCAGACAAGATGTATCCTGCAGTCTGCGGCACTAGAAGGGATCTCATTTTTGTTCTCTACAAACAAAATAAGCCATAACTTTATATGCTGCCATCTCCACATTATAATCTATTGTGGCAGTGATGTTCACAGTCTCGGTTGCTCTTGAATGCTTTCTTCTAGCTATGTCCACATCTTAAGATCTATATTTCTTTTGCAAAGAAGACTTAGGAGAGTTAGAAAGTATTTGGACTCCAGCTACTACTAGCGCTATGGTTTCTAATTTGTCACACAAATTCCACTTCAAAATGTAAATCCTAGCAGGGCCTGCTGGGTAATTGACGTGACTAGGCTCAGTTTAAGGAAATAGCGAAAAATAGGGATTATGGTGAGTTGCACAGCACATTTCACCTGAATGCATTTGATCAAAATTTTTGTAAAAACATCACACAAGCCAAACAAAACAAGAACAAGGAGCACTGGCCTCCTGACTGCCACCTGGCACACCTGGCCTAAAAGCCTGGCTCCAGAAAGTATCCTGAAGTTCAAGGACCAGGAATTTTAAAATGAGAAGCACTTAACTTCAAGTTCCTTCTACCCATTTGTTTTGCTGAAGAAGGGTATTAAATAAATTATGGCACTTACCATTATCACTATTTTATAAAAAAGAACAAAAATTATCAACAAAAACTAGGAAGGACACAATCTCCAGATACTGCTATCAAGAAAGAACAATTGCCAGAGTTACGTCATCTTCCATGTTTTTGTCTTTTGACTAGAGATGGGAAGAAACTTTGTTATGACACACACCCAGGGTACAAGTCAGAAAGACCTTGAAAACTTAAAACTCTGACATGATTTACAAGACCCAACTCTTGAAATACAGGGGGAAGAGATGACTTACATATTTACTTGTTAGAACTCCATTGCTTCTAAAACACAAGCAAGCTGCAGACTTCTGGTGTATTCCACAGTAATGCTCAGGAAACAGAAATCAAGGACTAACCACTATTTTTCATTCTGATTAGGGAGAGTCCTATTTTCCTGCACTGGAGGAAGACAAAGTTTTTCAAAGTAGCTGTGTAGCTCACATTGCCTTGGAAAGTTTCATCATAACAATTCAGTATGCAAATCATTATCTGCTTTTTAATGAAATGATTTTTTTTAATTGACTTGCTCCAGAAAGGAACCAAGGTGATTTATATACATATTTATGTGTGTGTAGCATAATATTAAGAAATAAGGACAATGTGAAATAAAGACAGAAAAAATATTTTGTCACCAATAAGATAAATAATCAAACTCCTGCTATGAAATCTGACTCGAAGTAGGTCACAACTCTGACCCAAGGGAGGCCACCAGGGTGAAGGGCAGGTCCTTTGGTTGGATGACAGTGTGCATGTGTTCCCTAATGGAAAAGAATCTATTCAGCTCCTGCCAACTGTTGCTAGGGAATGTTCCAAAAGAACTTGGAAACTGCAGTTTCTATAAGATTTGGAAATATCTATTTTTACCAACTTCCCATCCATGTGATTTAAAACATTGGCATATTGGTTAATTAGGCCAGTGCATAGAGCTTAGAAAACACGTGTGCTGGAAAGACATGAAGCGTGCTGGAATCATCGGGAGAGCTCTTCCCGACTGCAGGGGCCTCGGCCCTATCCCAGACGGCCGCATGAGAGACATCTCAGAGTGGGACGAGTCCACGCACTGTGAGAGCACCCCCAAGGGCTTCTAGCCCTCATCTGTAGTTAGAAATCACTGCTGTCAAAAATTAAGAAAAATGAAACAAGTTATTCCTGCTCGCTTCCTGGTGCTCTGCCTCCCAAGTCTTGATAGCGTCCACGTCCTGCTACCTGGGGACAGCACCCCGACAAGCGGGTCCCTGGAGTGCACTGTGTCTAAGGCCCAGCCGGATCTCGAGGGTCGTGGGTATTTACTTTGGTTCCTGTTTTCTCCGCTTTTATGAAAATGTTTTCCCAGAGGATCTGAACAACAGGAAACATGAGATAGAAAGCTGTGCCAATCTTGATTTACGTAGGAACAGTGAAAATAAATTACAATTCTGAGCTTTGGGAGATGGAAAATTTCCTGAGAAATCGCAGGTGAGAACACTTTCCAGACTTCGGCGACACAGTGCATTTGCAAACAGCGCTTGGGACGGGGCCAGATCACCGGGCGCTGCACCGAGGCTTCCCTTCCTTCTCTGGCCGCGCTCTGCCCCACCTTCGCTCTCTTACCTTTTTGTGCTTATGATACTGGAGGCAGCCATCGTGCTTCAGCACAAACCACCTCTTCCTCCAGCCCTTCACGAAGCCCGAGTGAGTCCGCTTGTGGAGATAGCCACGGCAGGTTGGCCACGGGGTATTGGGACAGCGGCTGATGTCAGATCCCACCACTAGAGTCAGGATGTCTGGACCTGGGAGGATGAATTTGGGATGGGTTCAGTGGGTAAAATTCTTACAATCACTTTCAAAGATGAGATGCGGGAGGAATGGAGGAGGAAAAGCTACAATTGTTAGAAATGGAATGAATTAGAATCCTCGCATTGGAATGAGTCACATCTCTTATTTATTTACTTATTTGTATTTTAGGGAAGGGTCTACAGGGTGTTCAGGGTCTCACTACTAGATCAGACTCATAGTGATTCTCCTGTTTACAGCCCCTCCCAAGAGCTAGGATTACAGGGGCGTGACATCACGCCCAGTCTCAATTGCTATTTCAGGGCGCCCCACGGTTGGAGCTGACAAGGCCGGCCCAAGGATTGAATCCTCGGCCCCTCTGCCTGCTCTCAGGAACTTTAATCCGCTGAGCTATTTGGCCAACTCTTTTCTTATCATTTAAACCTTCATATTGATGAGGAAAATTAAAACAGGAGAACCAAAGTAAATTCCTTAAGGAGGCTCAGCGCATCAGATTATAATTTTAGAGACAACTCTCAATTTATGTTGAGTTTAGCCCTGAATTTCCCAATTCCGCCTTCGCCTGCTACACCTCACCTAGTGCCTGGACCCCAGCAGTGCTCCCTTTCCCACAGGAATGGTTACTGCCCAGCTTGAGGAAACCCTTGCACCTGTTAACGTGAGGTTACTGCTTACCCATTGTTCTGAGGCTGCCAGCGCGGAGACTTACCGCACACCTAGCTGGTGATGCCTCAAGACAACTCTCTGAATGTCACTCAGACAGATAGCAACCCTGACATGCTTTGAAGACTGCAAATGGGCTATGACTTCATTTACAATTCCTCTGAGAGGGAGGCCACATCCCCGAAGGGGGACATTTGGCCTTGGCAGCGCTGACTTCATCAGGATGTCTGACATTGAGATTACCGATCTGTTTAGAGCTGTCTATGGAAATGGGGGTCAGCAAGGAGACTCCTCTTCTATAAATGACAAGCTCCAACCCAGGGGATCATTCCTGGCTGAGCTACATGGCCCTGAAAATAAAGATTTGTCCCAGAAAGGCTGACACAGTCTCAACTTTAGCAGCACGCAATGCACCTCAGTAATTAAATAACTCTCTGTGTGTCAAGATAATTCTTCATTGCCATGTAAATACATTTTAATTTATTGAACTGCCCTTAAGCTCCTGTCAAAAACACATCCAGAAAAATTAGAAGAAATGCTCCAGATTGACCGGCAACCCACAAATGTCTTTGTCTTTGGACTTTAGTCCCCAAAGAACTGAACTCCTGGACTAATATGCATAGTTGACACGTCTGCCAATTTATTTATGTACTGTTGCAATGGGCTGCCCCTGGAGGTCATTTTCCTCTTGCTTACAGAGTCTGAATATGGGTTTCTCTGATACTGATCAGGATAAGCCTGTGTTTCTATCTGGCCATAAACATAACTTGGTGTACCGCAAAAATTCTCTCGGGGGCAGGCGTACAGATGGCCTTGCTGCAGCACGGTGTCATCATAGGAGAGGGAAGTTTTTCACATTCAGAGTTAGGACATGAGCTGGATGCATGGGGACTTGCCAGGTTCCAAACAGCTGTCAAGCAGTGATGTTGTACTCTCTATCCCTGTTCCCATCTGGGCCTCGGAAGACTTGGACCTGGTACTCCCAGAGAAGCTTGATTTGATACTTTAGACTTTTGATGTTAGCTTCAAATGAGGTTATTTGTATAGCCGTTGTAGTTTTTATATGGATGTGTTTAAAGAACTAAAAAGCCAAGTACACAAGTTTAAAGCCTCATTGTTTTGGCTTATATTTATTAACCTACGGGGGGCCTAAAATTAGAAAGTGTCTTAGTTCAAAGCTTCTCATACTAACTGTAAATGCAGATGAGTCAGTGTTTTGTTAAAAGCTGTGTCCTCCTCAGGAGGCAGGACTCTGAGATTTCGTATTTACAATGAATCTCTGGTTATGGTCCTCCACATTTGAGTCATGAGTGCCATGAGTCCCTTTGGTTTCCAAAAGCTCTCCTATTTAGCACAGTCTCTGCTACCAACTATCATATTTATTTCTTTCCTCAACAGCAGTGTTGCTTCCCCTCCTGGTTTCACTTTGAGCCCCAACATTTCTTAGCAACTTTATCCTCTCCCCTTGTATTACTCCCTTTTGCTATATATCTCTCATTGTGGAGAAAGGAAATACATCACCACTTGCCTTCTCTCCTGGACATCTTGCTTGTGTCTGCTGGTAGATTAAATGGGGGGTGGGTGGGTACAGAAGGCAAATGCTGCAACCTGAGTCAGAAGAGCCAAGCAAATTGCTATTTTCATAGGATGCAAGCATTTGAAAAATCAACTGCTTCAGCAAATTCAATTCTTCGGTGATGACGTCTTTCGAAACAAAAGCTATGTAGGAAATCCGTTTTCACTAGCACTTTGGCTTAGAGTTTCGGAAGAAAGGCATTGTGGTGAGGTTATTTACAACTAGAGGAAAGAGAAAAATAATTTCTTTTTCTAATTCACACTTTCTCCTTGGCTCACTGTCTTCTTATTATGCCACCAATCTTAAACTGTGTCAGAGTCGCACCTCTGCTGTCAGACAAACCCTTCCACCCTTGCAAGCAAGGATGAGAAATGTGCAAGACGCATGCTGTCCCTGAGGGTTAGCACTGCGTTCAGCAGCTTAGGACCCAGACTCCAGAGCCATTTTTATGTTTGATTTTTAGTAAAGCCTCCACTTGGGAACCCATAATACCTTATGGAAGCAAAAGACTTCCAGGGTGGTTAAGCTATCTAGCATTCCTTTACGGTCTTCATTCATTTAAAAAATCTTCTACTTAATGATCTAAATAGTCAATCCTAAAAAAGTCAAAACCAGAATGTAAGGGAGACTCAGTTAAAACAAAGACTCACACAGAGATCTTGCCATTCACAGAGTGGCAATGAAGATTTGAAAAAAAAAAAAAAAACCCTCTTGATTTTCTCTTGAGCAAAACAAAGGTCATGTATGTAGTTATGGGTGGTAAGTATCATTGAGTGATGATCCTAATCATAAAGTTAGACTTTGCAATAGTCAGTGACTCTTCTTTCTCATGCCAGCCTGAGACATAAAATGACACTTGTGTCAGAGGCCAGCAAAGAAGGCTTCTAATCCTGGGACTGGGACTGCCCTGTTCTGCAGATGCTGGGCTGGTTGGGAAAGATGCACCACAGAGAGTTGGTGAGCAGGGTAGGTGCACAGGCCACCACTCCCAAAACCATATTTAAAATAGCCTTCCCAGGAGTCTGACATATGTGAGATTTAGGATTCAATATTATGTGAACAGTGATTTGATGCTCTTAAATCCAAATCAGCTCCATGGTTGCATCTGTTCTTCTCAGAGGCCCACCTCTTTGTAGTAATCCTGTCCTGTTTTGTTCTACTCTGCCTCCATGCACCATCACTGACCACAAATTTTAGAATGCATGTGGAATCCATGTTTTGTGTGCAGGGTATCTGCTCAGGAAGTGTTCATTCATTGCTGTTGACTCAGGAGCAGAGAGCCAAGCTTGGCACGGGGATGTCTTTGACTGCAAGGTCCCTTTCTGCTTTGTTTTATATTATATTCTCCTCCTCTGTCCTTGCCGTGGCTATTCTTAACGATGTGTATTACAAACTTTTGAGAATGGTTAATGGGAAGAGATAGGAAAGGTTCAGAGATATTGCCTGCAAGTGAAGTGCTGGGACAGCTTTGGTTGTTCTGTTTGGAAGCTTCTGGTCAGAGCTCAGACCAGAATGCTAATAGGAAGCCAGACTGTAAAGACCAGGCTGGGGAGGTTTCTGCTGGGAAGGACAGCATTGGTTGTTGGACTGTGGATGATTTGTGTTATGGGTTGGCAAAAGGTTTGATTGCACTTTGCTCCTGTCCAGAGACTCTACCTGAGACTGAGATTAAGCACAGTGGACTAGTTAATATTGAAAAAGAAATGTCAAAGCAGCCAAATGTTGGGGCAATGGTGTGGTTGTTGTTGGGAGCTTTTAGCCAGATTTATGTTAAGAATGAAGAGCATAGAATCCAAAAGGATGATTTAAAATGTTGTGTTTGTCCAGAAAGGAAACGCCAGGAAGACTGTGGACTGCAAAGACAGAGCTGAGAAGATTTCCATTGCTGAGAAGGAACAGGAGAGTAGGAAAGATGTCCTGAAGACATCACAGGAGGTGGCAGGTTCTTGCCCTTTGAAGCCTCAGAATCACAAGGGTGAATGACTGTGCTTTGAGGAAAAAAACTGCACAGTCCCAGGTTCCAGAATGGAGGCAGTGGCTCCACCAGGTTGCAGAACGGAGGTGGTGGCCACACCAGATTGCAGAATGGTGCCGGCATAGAGAATTTGTTTCTCAGAATAGGGTCAGAGTACTCAGCAATCCAGGCACTTGACCCTTACAGGCAAGGGAGAAGAAATCTTGGCTACTGCTCCAGTTGGCAGCAGCCCTTGGCATCATCCATGTGGCTTATTCAGTGGAAACCTCAGAAGTTTGACAAAGCAGGGAATGTGGATGGCCTAAGGAAAGCTGCAAAAAGGGAGAAAAGCAGGCCTGAGAGAAAAGCCGTAGGAGCTACCAGCAGAAGTGCCATAGGGGTGGAGCCACGTAAGGCTTTTGGAGCTCACAGCTCATTACAGGTTGCTTTGGATGATCCACAGGGAACTACTGGACTTAACATTTGCCCTTCTGGACTTTGGGCTTGTTTTGGTCCCAATTGTTTGTGCCCTGCTGTGTACATCTTTTGGAATGACAATGCTTATCTTGTGCCTTTGCATGTTGGGAGTGTTTAACTTTTCATTTGTAGAGGGACTCACAGCTAAGAGTTTGCCTTAGATCTTGGAAGCTTGGGACTTGGACTTTTCAGCAATGCTGAAACTGTTAGGACTTTGGCAACTCTTAGAGATGGACTAAAATGTCTCTTCCATAAACGGATGTGCATGAGTTTTTGGAGGGCCAGGGGATACATGTCATGGTTCTGATATTATACAGTGTTCAAGT